GCAGACAGAAGAAATTGGAATCACCAGTCTGAGATATCTGACTATGGAGGCTATCTGGTGGCTGCAAGGGGCACCATAGAAGTAAATGATGAGCCAACATGTAAGGTTATAAATAAGTCCCAAAAGATTTTCTGTATGATGTGAAGATGTGTGTGTGTGTGTGTGTGTGTGTGTGTGTACATATAAATGTGCATCTATCTCATTGGTAAAATATACAGAAATAGGCTCAAACATTGCTAGTACGGTACACCCATATAATCCGTAAAGAAAATTTGAGATAACTATTTACTGAATGTTTCAAAGCTTTTCAAATATGTAGACCAATTGAACATAGTGTATGTTTATACATTGTTTACCTGGAGAAGAAGGATTGCCCAAAATAGAGGCTAGTAAGTTGTATAATGTGAATCCAAGTTAGAAAGGAAGCATGGGTAGAGATCCCCCAAAATTGAAGTCCGCTTGGAATGAGGCCCCAAATAACTGCCGGAGAATAGCTATCTCTATAGAGTTCTCTCTATTAGTGTCAACAACTACCATAGAGCCAGAATATCAATACATCTACAACGGCTATAGTTTACGGCATTGCATTATTACCTGTTAAGAGTGTAATCCTTGTGTATCCTGTGCTTCCTGACCAGGCTGATGCCTGGAGTAAAGTATAATGGTGCCAACATCCAGCCATCCATAAATAGCCCCGATCAGGGCACACATGTGCTGGAGTTGGCGTGTGACATCACCCAGCCCGGCCGGAACATGTCACGCAAGGGGCAGCACATATGCACTGGCTGGCGGCCCGAAGCTTTGGGCAAAACAAAAACTTCTTTCTTTTATCAGATGAGAACTAATAAATCCTGCCAGTGTATAGTCAAGTTCATCACCAGATATTCAGCTCAGCATTCACAATTATGTACACTCTTACAACAACATTGGCACCTACTATGGGAAGATAACACGATAGCCAAATATATTAGAGATCGTCTTGAATTAGTTTTTCCGGAAAACAGCAATTTACATTCAGTAAATAGTTATCCTTTTCTTTATGGATTACTATATGGGTATACCGTACTAGAAATGTTTAAGCCTTATTGGCTATTTTCTGTATATCTTATCAATAATATAGATGCACATTAATATATATATATATATATATATATATATATATATATATATACATACACACACACACTCACATCCTATAGAAAATCTTTTTTGGGCTTATTTATATCCTTACTTGCCTCATCATTTTACTTCTATGATGCCCCTTGCAGCCACCAGATAGCCTCCATAGTCAGATATCTCAGACTGGTGATTCCAATTTCTTCAGTCTGCTGTTGCTTTTATTCAATTGTATTCGATATCTATACAATTGTAAGTAATACCAATTTTTTGTGTCCTGATCTCCATTGGCTGATAGCCTTTATGTGCTAATGATCAAAGTATGTGTTTTTTTCACCAGATGCATTCAACTAGCTCCTGAGGAAACGACTTGTTGTCGCGAAACATGCCGAGCAAAAAATCCTTTGGAATTAGGGTTATTCCCCAATGAGTTCTATTATCTATTCCACACTGGTAGCCTTATGTGGCACATATAATCCAATGTATTCCTTACATATGGGGGTAACTCGTTTCAATGCAATTTTCTGATTTTATTATGATCTGGTGTTTACTGTGACTTGTAATGATGACCTATCTATCACTATGCATAATGGTATACATCTTTTGGTTTTAACCAATCTATTGAAATAAAGATATTATTTTTATAAACATTGGTTGTGAGGTTACGTGCCTATGAAGTCCATGTTACATGTTTCCCTGAAACAACCATGTCACGTTCAAAGTCACTTAAATCCCCTTTCTGCCCTATTCTGATGCTCAGTTAGCACTTCAGCAAGTCGTCTTCACCACGCATAGATGCCTAAATGCATTGAGTTGCTCCCATGTGATTGGCTGTTTAGCAATTTGTATTACCAAGCAATTGAACAGGTGTACCTAATAAAGAGGCCAGTGAGTGTATTTTAGATACCCTTTTCTCTCTCACCTGACTTTTTTCCCTTTTTTTTTTCTGCTACATATCTCTTAAAAGCAAGTCATTTTTGAAACAAAGGCCTACACATAGAATAAATTGATAAATTTGTGTAACGGTTAAGCTATGCTGTATTCTGCAAACCTGCCCTAATGTTCAGCTTCCTGGTCAGATTGTTAAAATATACAATTGTGCAAAATGACACCATGAACGGCTGGCTCAACTTCCACATTGTCTGTATACTATAGTGTCAAAACGAGCCGCAAATTTATTTTTATTTCTTAACACAAGGTTTTACATTACAGCGGCAGACCATTAGCCTGGCATAACTATCCATCCAAGCAATTTTACTCCGTAATTAGCAGTTTATCCTCCATGATTAAGACTTCCTGAATGCTCTCCGGAATGTGGCAAGTGTTGTGGGATGTGGACCATTTTGGATGGATTGCCATAGGTGCAGGAATCGTCATCACTTGTCTCTTTGGGCTGTCGCCATTTGTGAGGTCTTTTGTATATGGATATTTCCTGGATCATCTAATGTGTAATTGGAATGCCTTTTTCTTTCTTTTTTTTTTTCTTTTCACATGTTTATTGTCATCTAGTGTAGGCCAGATTTATGGCAGTGCAGTAGTTTTAGTAGTTTTGGCCAAGCTGTTTTTAATGACATCACCTTGATCTATATTCAGTGTGTGATTTCAGTTGGTCCCAGTGTTAAATATTTTCATAATTATGCTGGTTTTGGCAGTTTGCGTGGAACTTTTTTTCACATCTCTTTAATGAACATGTTTTACCTCTGGGCTTATGAGACAAGCACAGAGTTTGAAAAATTAATAGTGTAGCTCTAATGCTTAGATTACGCACAAATGTTTTACTGCAGAAGCTTTTTTTTAATTCTCCTCTTTTACAAGTAAATAGAAGCTTACAGAGTGAACTTCTCTCTTGGGAATAACCACTGGGTAGTCACTTAATTAAACTGCGACATTTGTTTTGAATAAGTGTTTACGTTTCATATACTTCATATACTTTTGCTTGGTAGTTATCGTTGGTTTTAGCCAATTATAACTTGACCCGCGTTCTGTTTTGCACTTCCACAAACGTGTTTTTCCATGCAACTGCCACTAAACTGGTTTTATGCTGGATGTACAGTAGACTGGCCAGTTTTCCAGCTAATGAAACAAAAATTCAAGCCATTTTTGCAAATTTCTTTGCATGAGTCTGTTCACTCTAACTGGATGACATTTATTTTATGAAAGCATTGTGCATTTGTTCCAGTGTTAACAGCTCATCATTGCTCTGAACCTGCATCTCAGTAACAGCGGACCATGGCCACCTGGTGCTTGTGGGACAGGGAAGACAACAGAGGAGCACAACTAGGAGACAGTTGTCACCCCATAAAATTGATTGTCCGAACAAGAACCTTCATGGCTGAATTTTTAGGTTTTATTTTAATAAATGATACATATTGATAAAAAATGTAAAATAAGCTATTAGTGTTATTAAATTCAAAAGCAAACATTTATTATATTGCAACTTACCAATTCTTAGATGTGATGGCTGCATTAGCTTTCTTTTTTAGACTTCTTTTCCCTCTGGTGATCTGGCCAGCAACTCTGTTTTTAACAGAGCAAGCTGTCCTGCTGGTTTATCAGTTACAGGGATGAGGCAAACCATTTACCACTGTCAGGGGTGCTTACAATTATCAGCTTTTATCTATTCATGTAAAACCTTTATCCCTAAAGGAAAAAAACCTGTTTCCTGTTAACTAATTATAAAGTATTAGCTGGAGTTTGTCTTCAATGTGTTAGTGTCTAAATCTGCTAGTACATCTAACACTCCCCTCCCCTCGACTGACAATGCTGCTGTCCAAAGGTGCCCCCTATGCTCCTTCAATCAAAGTGGAGGCACTTGAACCACTTGACTTCTGGAATATTTATCCCCCTTCCTGACCATGTTAATGTTTGCGATGCAGCACTGCGTTAATTTAACTGACAATAGTACGGTCATGCAACACTGTACATAAATAACATTTATGTAATTGTTTTCCCTACAAATAGATCTTTCTTTTGGTGGTGTTTGATCACCTCTGCATTTTTTTACTTTTAGCATTATAATCGAAAAATTCCGACAATTATGAAAAAGAAAACAATATGTTTTATTTTCTGCTAGAAAACCTATCCAATAAGAAAATTTTAAAAATACAATTTCTTCTTAAATTTAGGCAAAAGGTATTCTGCTACAAATTTTTGGTAAAAAAAAAATCCCATTAGTTTACACATAGGGGTTTATTTACTAAAGCTGGAGAGTCCAAAATCAGACTCCCTTCTGCATAGAAACCAATCGGCTTCTAAACTCAGCTTGTTCAATGAAGCTTTGGCAATGAAACCTGGAAGCTGATTGGTTTCTATGCAGAAGGGAGTCTGATTTTGGACTCTCCAGCTTTAGTAAATAAACCCCATAGCGTCTACAAACTATAGGACATATACTTTTTTGTTTTTATAAATACTAGTAATAGCAGTGATCAGCGACTCATAGCTGAACTGTGATATTGCAGTGGACATTTTTACACTAACTGACACTTTGTGGGAACCAGTAACACTAATACAGTGATCAGTGCTAAAAATATGCACTGACACTATACTAATGACACTGCCTGCGAAGGGGTTAAACATCTAGGGCAGTGATGGCGAACCTTTTTGAGCCCGAGTGCCCAAACTGCAACCCAAAACCAACTTATTTCTTTCAAAGTGCCAACACTGCAATGAAACCTGAATATCGAGCTTTTGGTTTAGAAAAAACAACTCGTACAGTAGTGCAAACTAATTAACAGTACAGGGATGACCAGAGACTGCGGACACAGTACAGGGATGACCAGAGACTGCGGACACAGTACAGGGATGACCAGAGACTGCGGACACAGTACAGGGATGACCAGAGACTGCGGACACAGTACAGGGATGACCAGAGGCTGCAGACAGTACAGGGATGACCAGAGACTGCGGACACAGTACAGGAGATGACCAGAGACTGCGGACAGTACAGGGATGACCAGAACTGCGGACAGTACAGGGATGACCAGAGACTGCGGACACAGTACAGGGATGACCAGAACTGCAGACAGTACAGGGATGACCAGAGACTGCGGACACAGTACAGGGATGACCAGAGACTGCGGACACAGTACAGGGATGACCAGAGACTGCGGACACAGTACAGGGATGACCAGAGACTGCGGACACAGTACAGGGATGACCAGAGACTGCGGACACAGTACAGGGATGACCAGAGACTGCGGACACAGTACAGGAGATGACCAGAGACTGCGGACAGTACAGGGATGACCAGAGACTGCGGACAGTACAGGGATGACCAGAGACTGCGGACACAGTACAGGGATGACCAGAGACTGCGGACAGCACAGGGATGACCAGAGACTGCGGACAGCACAGGGATGACCAGAGACTGCGGACAGCACAGGGATGACCAGAGACTGCGGACAGCACAGGGATGACCAGAGACTGCGGACAGCACAGGGATGACCAGAGACTGCGGACAGCACAGGGATGACCAGAGACTGCGGACAGCACAGGGATGACCAGAGACTGCGGACAGCACAGGGATGACCAGAGACTGCGGACAGTACAGAGATGACCAGAGACTGCGGACCTTTGGGGAGGGAGGGGGAGCGGGTACCTGAATTTGACAGGTACCCGCTCTTACTTCCGCAGAGTTTTTTTTTTTTTATCTTACCTGTTCCTCGATCCAGCCGCGCGCTGTCTTTCCGGCTTCTGTAGTGTGGGCGCTCGTCAGACAGCCGGATGCCCAGTGCGCATGCGCGAGAAGCGCTGCGCTTTGTGATTGGTCCGGCGGCTTCTGGGATCTGTCATGTGTCCCAGGTACCGCCTTACCATTCACAAACAGCACTGCTTCTTGTGCATGCGCACTTGGGACCCGGCTGTCACGCACACTACAGCCGGGAAGACAGCGCGCCGCTGGATTCTCCTGGCGTGCCCACAGATCAGGCTCGGCGTGCCGGCTGTGGCACGCGTGCCACGGGTTCGCCATCACTGATCTAGGGTAATCAAATTTAACTGTGTGCTTGGTGTACATTAGGTGGTGCTTTTGCTAGGGGAAGTGAAGGATGATGTTCCCAGCTTTGCAGGGACACACAATCCTTCACTGCCTCCCCTATCAGAATGAAGCTCTGCCTTGTTTACCTCTGTTCTGTTTCCTGCCTGATGATTGGTGGGTGTCGGCGCACATCCATTCAATTGGGGACTTGCAGAATGGCTTCTGTTGTGAGTGTTCACAGCAGAAGCGATCCGCCGACAGTGCGTGCACGTCCCTCTATGGCTGAAGTGCAAAATCACTTATCTATATGTGATTTTACACAGAAGGGCTGCCTTGTAGCAGTAAAACTGCTATAGGGCGGACCTTAATTGGCTAATACAGGAGGTGTGTTACTGGCCAGATCACCAAGAAACAGAGGGAAAATAGCCTAAAAAGAAAATTTAATGCAGCAAGCACATCTAATGATTTTAAACTGCAATATATACATTTTTTTTGTTTTGGGTTTATTACCGCTTTAAATTTACATTTGTATGTTAAAATGTATATGGCATTTTAGTAAGGGGCATATATTGCATGCGGAAATTAATTCCTCCAACACAGCTAATCCTCTACCACCCATTCAAAGATTTATTTAAAATGGAAACCCTTTTCTACCATTACATGGCTGTCTGTTTGTGCCTCTTTGAAGACCTGTGATCCACCATTTGTTTCGGCTGCCCTTGACTGGTCTTTTATGCCTCTCATTATCATATCATCATACCGCAGCTAGGATCTTCAGAAACTCCACTGATCAACAGCCAGTGGTAATCTTTCTTGTCACCAGGTGGCGAGATTGGTAACCAAAGTAGAACACCCTGCAGTCCAGAAGAAAGAAGACTTGAAGATCAGTGTAAGAATTATTTTTTAAATTACTCAAGCAATTAGCTAGAGGACGTGTTTAGAAGGGAGGTCCCTGGCTGGAATACAGTCTTAAATGGTTTGTTCCCCTTCAGTAAAATTTCCAAAATTGCCTTTATCAATTCAGTATCCTGTGATTAGTACACATTAGTGCTACTTCTGGTTTAAATGGTGCTTGTCCTTCCATTACAGATGCAACTGTTGGGGGGCTCTCTACAAAAACTGGTGGCTCCTCAATGGCAGGACTGGCTGAACATGAACCACTTGCCTACTGGGCACTTTTACCCCCTTCCTGCCCAGGCCAATTTTCAGTTTTCAGTGCTGTCAGTGCTTCAATTGCGCAGTCATGCAACGCTGTACCCATATGAAATTTGTATAATTTTTTTGATTAGGAAGTACTGATGATGCTGCACTGATAGGCGGAAACGATGGGCACCGATAGACGGCACTCATGGGCACTAATAGGTAGCACTGTAGGGCAGTAACTGGTGGCATTGACTGACGGCTTTCGCGCATACACTCCGGTCTTACCAAGAAAACAATATTCTTGTCAATGATAATTCATAGAACCATGCAGTACATTTCACTAAAGCATTACATTATTTCAACACATTTGCTGCTTATGTAACAGGCATCAACCTTTGTGAATTCTTTGTTTAAGTTCGTTTTTCACCCCTTAGATTTTTATTGCAATATGTAAATAACCATAACTGCATTTATTATATCAAATCATCGGTGTGTATACATTTTTGCAAGACCGCAGCGTGAGGGTAGAAGAGTTTACAAAAGCGGCCTGAATGTTTTCTTTCAGCTATGGATAAAGGTGTGTTAGTGATTAATACCATCTGAAGGAGAACATAGAGCCAAGAATCACATCTAATGATATATGGAGAGACTTGCATAAGCCGTTGATACTTTATCAGTATAGTCCTTTTTACCCGAACACGTGTGGATGTGTGTGTTGTTTCACCCATTTTGTTCTTGTTTTCATTAAGATTAGGCGGTACATGCCTTGCGGATAGGATCAGACTTTAATAATGTTTATTTTTTGTCCGTTGTATTTGTCTTAATTGCGCCTAGATCCTTTTCTGTGTAACATTGTTCTTTACAAGGCTGAGTGGGATCATGGGTGCCTTTGATTAGAGTGTATGCTCTGTTCCTTGCGTTAATCCTTTACTAACCAGTTTGGCCAGATAGCTCAAAATGGTAACTGAGCACCTGCTGTAATAATTCTAATGAATAGCCTCACTTGTCTCCAAAGAGCTAAAAGTTGCATTCAGCTGTGCTCACTGGCAATTGCTACTGCTTGCTTTCAGTGCTTTGTTAAAGATTGTTTTTTTTATGGGAAATTTATATAACTACATACAGCATAAATGTAGTAGGCAAAATAGTGAAAATTCCAGGAGATAGCCATTTAAAACCTTGGCTCATAGAGAACTTTAAAGGGTTGATTTGCTGAAAGGTGATATTTCATCTAAAGTTTGAGTCTGTGGAGTCTCAAGTTGGCTATTTACATCTCTAGATGATGTTAGCAACAAGATCTCCTCCATCTTTGTTTACAGTTCTGCTACTGACCCTCTTTAGAATTGTCTACATTGGGGTGCATCTACTGCTCTTGCTGTGTTTTTAAATATACGAGGGGCATTCAAGTCAAACTGGGACTTTTGAGTTTATATAATAAAAGAACAAATTTCAAGGAGTGGAAACTGCATTAATTTTTCGCCATACTCCTCTGCTACATTTATACACTTATCACAGCATTAAATGCCTGGAAAGCCTTGGCATATAAAGATTTGTCAGTATGCCTGAACCTTCCTAGGGCAGTCTTCTCTTTGAATCATGGTGTTCAGCTTTCCCACAGAAAGATTTGTCTGTTGTGCAATTGTGTGGTATGCATCCATTATCCAGGTTAAAGCATTCCGTGGGCTGAATGTTCACAGGAATGACTGCTGTGGGCTGAGAGCCACCACAGCCTGGATCATCAATGACAGTCGTATGGCCATGTTTGAAACGTTTACACCATTCAGATGTCTTACTGCTGCTGAGCATCTCATCACTGTACTGTGCTTGAAGTCTTCTGTAGATATCCACGGGTTTCACGCCTTTGTTCACAAGCACCTTCATCACCACATACACTGTTTCATGCGCACACTAACACTTTTGTCTGCAATCTTGCTCAACGGACTGAACTGGCCTGCGTCATGTGCGCCGCCTATCAGTAATAGGACACACTTGCCACTTAGTACTGCGTGTAGCACCGCCACTCTAGAATCCCTTTTTATACAACGGGTAAAATAAGTTTTGAACACGTCACCATTTCTAAAGGGACTATTGACATGAAACTTTCCCCACATGTTGGTGACAATGGGCTGGGGGGTGAGGACGAGTAAGTTCCCCAATATTAAAAGTCAGCAGCTGCAGTATTTGTAGCTGCTGACTTTTCATTTTTTTTGGCGGGGGGGCCAGAACTCCACTTTAATGCCTCATCTGAATACAGCAAAGAAAGAAGCTGAGAGATTGTCATCTCCATTACAAGCATGGCTAACTTTTTATTATTCGTTTTTATATTTCAATATTGTTATTGTTTTTATGGGAGCAATTTTATACATTAAAGTTATATTGTATTATTATTGCATTATTGTATTATATTGTAAAGCGCTGCGCAAACTGTTGGTGCTATATAAATCCTATATAATAATAATTAAAGTGAACACATCCCTACCTGGACATCAACATGATTCATATGTTGTATTCAATTAAAAATACAAACAGAAAGCAATGTTTAACTCTTCACATTCTCTGACCTCAAAATACTAGGAATAATGTAAAGATCTCAAAGGGAAAACTAACCAATGTCCCCCAACACCAACCAAATTACTGCCACCTTTTACAACTCTTTTTGAAGCCCAGTGTTAAAAATACACTCTAAACATATGTTTAGCTTATGATGCAAAAGTTGTAACCATGTGCAGCAAAAATCACAAAAATCTGTCAAATGACCAGGGCAGTGACCTGATACATGGTTTTCTTTGAAGATATCTTTTTTCCCATGCACAAATGGTCTTTGCTTTATGGAGCATCTAAGTTCATTAACTGTAGGAAAATAATAGATTTGGATTCAGGGATCTGAGGTATCCTTAAGAAACAAATTTAGAGATTGAGCTGATACAACGGGATTGAGTTTCTAAAGTTTATTCAGACAGGTCAGAGATGTTCCTTTTCCACAAGACTGTTTAACCTCCTGACCCTTAATTAGCTTTTATTCAGCATTTGTTTGGCACTGTCAATTTAAGAAGCTGTGTGTTTTTAGGATGCTTGAATGGTCTCAAGAAAAAAAACTACTTACTGGTTTAGTGAGAACTTGCTTGTGTAAAGTGATATGAGTTGCTAGTTGTCAGATAATGTGATGTTTCCTCATGCCATCAGTGTGTATCTAATCTTAAAGTGGACCCCCCCCCCCTTAATATGCTACCCATGCTAAATAACTGTGTTTGGGCAAAAAACATAGGGACATGCTTCTTTCTTTATTCATTTCCTCTTTCCCACAGGTCCTTACTGCCTGTCCCATGCATCCCACTCCACTTTTTTTTTCTTCCAAATAATAGCATCTGTAGCC